TTGAGTTTGGATAGAGGGAGATAGCTCTGGGGAAAGGAGAAGACCCGTATGTCATCTGCAGAGAGATAYTAATTTATTTGTATTTCAGATGAGATAACTCAGAGATAATGTAGGAGGATAACAGGAGAAGACCAAGGATACAGCTCTCTGAGAGTCTGTTAAACACTAGGAAGAAAGGTTTAAATAGGTAAAAAGGATTTAAATAAAGCATGGTTGATTGTGTCAGGTCAGAAAGGATGAGCTTTAAATACTTTTTTGGGGGGTTCTGTTGAGCCTTTGATCTGTTTTTGGTTAATCCAGAGTGGAAACTGAGAAGTTTGGACATTGATGGTTGGATGTCTGTGGAGTGAGTCAGAGAGTGTGAATGCATAATTAGGAAAGTGGAGCTGAGTCAGGGCTTTTATTCATTTGTTGATTTATACCAATATTTTTTAATTTTGAGGGGAAACAGAAAGAAAGTAAGGGCAAATGAAGAAGACTATATAATATTTTAGCCTTGTAATTTTTACAAAATAATAYTGCTTGTGTAATTTATTTCCTCTGGTGAAAATTTGGTAGCTTCTGGGCTTTACTCCTTTTGCTTACTTTCATGGACCAGAAAGGTAAGAAAAACAAGGTTTCTCAAATGTCTCCCCTTGGGGCTCACTGTTCAGCTAAAGATGTAGGTTTAACATGCAGCTAAGCCAGTCTGATGACTTGTGGCCACTGAAAGGTGGCTTTAATTTTTTGTGACTCTGTGTTCTGTCTTTGTGCTGATGCTGCTACTTATTGGACCTGTTTGTCTGCCATGTGTTTATTTGGCTCATGGAAGTGTCCCAATGACTGCCAAAATCAGCACAAGGTAATCTGGAGTGCCCAGCTGGGAGATGAATTTTGGAGATGGCAGATGTCACATTCTTAGCAGCCATAAACTGTGAGGCTGACTCAGTGTGTCTTCTGGACTGAACCACTGGGCTAAGATAAGCAGCTCTTCAAGAAATGGAATTATGAAATTCATCTCTGTTTCTACAAAAGSAATGAAAAGGGTTGGCAGTTAAGGAAGAAATACATTGACGATGATCAATGTTAATACAACTTATCCTCATGGGATTATCTGGCATCTTACACCTCTGAGAGAGGTTTTTTCTGATTCTTTGCAAAACCTGCAAACTGTCAGATCCTTGCAGTGAGCTACTACTGACTCATCTTTTGGCTTASGATATAGTTTCACTGAGATCTGGCTGTTTGATGAGTTAGTACAAGGAGTTAAACCAGAAGAAAACCCAATTTTTTGCTGTGCTAGCTTTCTGCTCTCTTAATTCCTTGAATAAAACAGGCACCRGTGTTTGCAGAATTGAGGCCGGGGAAGACTGCCGACAGATGGAAGGGGSAAGTAGAATTGCCTTTTCAACAGAAGCTAAAACTTCTATTCACCTTGTTGCAGTGTARAACTCCACCTTTAGGATGTGGCTTCACAGTTGATTGAAACTGATCTCATTCTGACTTCTTGAAGAAAGAAACCCTACTGCCTTCCTGGTATCAACCTTGTTAAAACAATCCCTCCTCAAAATGGCTTGTTTGCATATGTAGTCATGGGGTTCATCGAAMGAAGGAAGATAAATCACATTAGGAGTTGAAATGCGAGTTTGGCTTTTTTTCTGTAGCTTGGGATGGGGCCCCAAAGAGAGTGTTATTAATGAGCTAGTGGGGACTACATGCAGCTCTCTGCTCATTGTCTGCTACCAGCAATTTAAGTCTTCACTGGAGCCTCTCTCCTTTGATATTCCACAATCATTGATTTTCCTTTGAACACTGAGTCATTTACCCTAGTCTTCTCCCTTCTAAAGGATGAGCTAATGTCATTATAAAAATAACTCTTTTTTTCTGTGATCAGCAGAACAAGTGAAGCCTGGTTTCCTATGGATTTGTCCTGATGTGCTACCGCTGTGTGGATTCTCATATGTATATTAAGCAGTATCTGCACATGCTTACCATTTTATCAGTGACAGCTTTATAAGGACCTGTTTCATCCATTTGGCYTTGCATTTCACTTAAGTTACCTTTGTACAAATTTAGATGGAATTTAGCAATGGTTTAAACATGCTTTTTTTGGCAAGAAACATGGGGGAAGTAATGGGACCCAGAGGCAGAGACACTAACAAAGTAATTGCATAAGCTTTCTTTCCTTAGGAAATCAGGCTAAAAATTAGTCTTTTGCCAGTGACCTCTGCAGTGACCTCAGATCAGGCTACAGACACAGAAAAGTAAATGTTGCTGTTTACCATGTAAACGTTTCCAGTTACCTCCTATAACAGATTTCTTATAAGGCTAAGCCAGCAGTTGATATTTACTCACTTGGTTATTTTCTCATTTTCAGCAATGTCCCTATCAGGCTTTGGGAACTTGGGGTGTTTTTTTTGTTTGTGTTTTTGCTAGAGTGCACTCATGCATTAGTTGCTTTCATTTATTTTCAATTTAATCTTTATACTTGTATAAAATGGCTATGTAGGTATAAGACAAGCTGTTAAAGAGGCTTGTGGGTTACAGAACTCTGTAATGTCAATGATGCCATGAAAAATAAAGGCTTTAAATGCAACCCGGGATACAATCCTGTTACTTGGAGAAAGTGTAGCATCTTCTCTGTGAGATTTTCACTGTGCAATAAATATTAGGGTATTTTATTACATTTTTCTCATTGTACATTTACACTTCTGTTACTTTAGAAACTAAAATAAAYGATTTATTAAAATAAAATCTGCCATTTCAGATTTCTGGATGGATGTCAGTTCATCACGAAGCGTCCACCTACAAACTATCTTTGCAGATTTGGACAGTATTCTGTGCTTATCTTGAGCTCTGACAGAGTTCTGTCAAGAATGCTTGACTACCCTACAACAGGGCAGCTGGATGCTGGAAGCCAGCTATATCATCTTCTTGGCTCTCTTTCCAGTCACTTGGACCTTGAAGTAAGTCTGCCATGTTCCCAGGTGTTACCTCTTTCCCTTGAACTAGTTTACAGATAGACCAKTTCCGTGATTCTCTGAGTCTGTCATTACAGAAATTTGGGTGCTGGAGCAAGGGAGCAGGGAGTGAGCAGTCAATCCCATCTACAACAGGAAATKTGGGACCACCCATCCAAGTGGCAATCCAGGTTTATGCTAAATTACAGTGACCATACAGAATAAAGCACTACACCTTGGGGGATATGTGTGAAGAGAAGAGAGAGGGAGAGAAACAGGCAGAACATGTCCATCTGACTGTGGGAACTCAGGCACTGCCAGACCCSTCCAGCTTTCTTTCCTGAACATGCACTTTTCTTCTGAGCACAAGTCATGTGAGAAACTTCATAGTAGCACTGGGTCCTGCTTGGTGACCTGCAATTCAGCTGCTTGGCCGTGTCTGGTGCATCAGAGATGCACCCATAGGGGATGGATGGAGAAACTGGCCAGGCTGTGACTGAAAAGGGGGATGCAGATCTTCTGAGAAGAATGAATGAGAGACAAGATGTGTGAGTTACTGCAGTGAGATTGCAATGCTTCATAACCTCCAATGAATTAATATAAAAATGGATAAAAATCAGTGTGGTGTAAGATTGAGAGGCTTTGCAGAAACACATTACACACAAGCTGTAACTGTGAGGTATAAAGCTTTTGTACATTTAAAATACAGATGTAAGTCAATGAAAAACAAAATTCTCTGACACTACCCTACCAGCAGTGAGACCTAATATGGTCACACCATGCTGGCATAGATCAGGTCCTTAGAACAAGCTAAGCTTAACCTTCAATGGCCTTGTCATCTTATTTCTGATATGAAAGGGGCCTTGTTTGCTCAGGAAAGTGTTTGGAAAATCACCTGTGTTCCTTGTGTGCCATCARTAGGTCTGTACCCCATTCCTAAATTAAGGAAAAAAGAAGGGGGGAAATAAAGATGAGCATTCACCTACAGACAGAAAAAAATACTGCTTCTATAGAGATTTTCCCTGATGCCAGCCATTAGCTGCTTTGTTGTACTCTTTGGAATATGTGTCTGCTAAATGCCAAGTCTCTGCCAGGGAGATCCTCCTACCCTGATGATTACAAGTGGCAAAGATAAAACAAAACAAAATTTGATGCTGTCAAATTGTTAAATCGATTTAATGCAGCATTTCCCGTGGGTTCAGTCTCTACTTCAAACAGATGCAACTAGCTGGAATTCTAACAGCACAAAAACGGGGAGATATTGGGAATTGCAAATGAATTTGAAAAAAAATTGGGTGATCAGATCCTTTCATTTGCAATAGAATTTGGGCTGGAAACTTGTTTGCTTTTTGACAACGATGGCTTCAAGCCTTGACGATCATAACCCTGCTTGTATACCCATTGTCCAGGTTTCGTGGTGTTATACTTGCAACCTTCCTATTTCTCCCCACAGAAGGGGATCAGTTACTTGTCATGGTTATTCCTCTGTTAATTCCTTAATAGTCTCAATTTGATTTTTCCCCTCTTTGTTTTCTTTCCGTTTGCCACTTCGGAGGTGGCTGCGATTTGCTATTTATTTTCCTGGCTGCCTTTGTTCTTTACTTCCTATTCTCTCTGGTCCCTCTTGCCCCAGGGGCTCCCTGGTGCTCCGCGGGTGGGGGACTTCCCCGACCCCGCTGCAGTTCACTCCTCAAGCCCACCCTATTCGCAGACAACTTTTCAGTCCAAAAATCTCCTTTAAAAGGAGCTGGCTTTTCAGTATTTTTGCCAGTATATCATGCCCCGGTTGAAGGCATGCCAACGCCTGCCCAGGCACACAGCCACCTCGCCACCMGCTGCCGTACAACATGGCGGCGCCCAGAGCCCACTCGCACAGCCGGCACAGAGGAAGCGTCCGCCACTCTAAAGCTCCCGGTGCGTGTGGCAACTGCCCCGCGGGGGGTTCCTGCAGCCGGACGCAGTCGTTCCGCGGGACGCAGGCAGCGAACGGGCCGGTGGGTGCCCGGCGGGGCYGCGGGCGGGCGGCGGGGCCGGGCGCGGGGGAGAGGCTGCTGCGCGCATCCCGGAGAGGCGGCGGCCGCGGCTGCAGCTACGCCGGTGCGCGGTCCGGTGCGCCCGCGGCCTCCCGTATGATCACTCCCGGCCTCCGGGCCTCTTCCCGGGATAAATAACCCCGGCCGAGCTTAAAGCGGGCAGCGCCTTCGCCTGGGTGCGAGGAGAGCTGCGGACGCTGCCGCCTGCCCCCCATCCCACCGGGGCTGGCGGCGGCCCGGAGGAGCGCTCGGCTGGGGCCCAGGGCCCGCCCCCGGGCCTTGGCGGATCGCTGCCGCCGGGGCTGAAGCGGGGCCGGGGTGTCTCATGGGGGTTTGTCCTGCCCCAGCGGGGGATCCGCACGAGGGGCTGTCTGGGATCACATCCACCCCCAGTTCCCGGCGGGGTGGTGGCTGTTGGACCGAGGGAGAGGCCATGGCTGCGGGCCGCGGTGCATTGGGTGTTCGCGCTCCGTTTACGGGGTGCCAGTGAAGGACCTGTTGAGTCGCGGGCGCTCGGGCAGGTGCCCGGGCCGTGCTCGGGGTGCGGGCAGCGGCTGTGCAGGGCTGGAGGAGCATCGACACCCCTGCTTGCTTCTGGGACCGCGTGCGCAAGGGCAGCCTTTTAGAAACAACGTGGCGGACTGGGGACGCAGGGGTAGGATTGATTGCAGTTTACTGAAGGTGTAATTAGCTTTTGTATGGTAGAGAGACAGCTATGGTRAAAACAGATGATGGTGCTTTAGGACTTTTCAATGTCTGAAGAGCCATTTGACCCTAGTATGTATGTTAATGTAATGGTCAAATGCTATTATTTACTAATATGTGAACAGACATGGTTATTCTGCAGCAATTTCATTTTGCTCTTGTTTAGGTTGATTTAATTCCAAACTGAACTAAAAGATGTTGACAATAGCCGTGACTAGTTTATTTTTGGAATAGCAGAGTTTGTGGAAGCACCCAGTTGCACCTGTATAAATTAATGGATTCTGATGTGAAAGATGTGTGCTAATRTCTTTACAGATAGTTTTGTGGGTTTAAGTATAGGTGTTAAAGTCTTTGAAATGGGTCGTAATGTCTCTGAGCTTTGGGGTTGCAAGTTCACTACAGAGCCGAGACAGCCTTGCTCTTGAAACAAGACAAGTGGGTCTGCACAAACCTGAACTTAAGAACTTTGGGGTAAAATGACAGGTTCGGGGCAGGGGAAGCATATATGGTAGGTGATTGGGAAAGGCTGTACCTTCCTTKTGCCTCAGCTAATGTTGGAAGAGGACAGCATGCAGCCGGGAGTTTAGGATAAAAGGAGGTTGCGCCCTCTGAAACTTTTAGAGAAAACCCCGCAGGCGTGTGCCCGAGTGGACTCTCTCCCTTCATTCGAATGAGGTTAAAGGACTCCTCTGTTTTCTTTTTGGACAKAAACGTCCGGCGTTTGTGGATTCATTTTCTTGACAATTTCTTTTAAGGTTTTTAGTGGTGTGATCAACAGCGGTATTCATTCTCCTCTTTTGCCCAATCCGTCTGTCCCCAGGCCCCCAGTCTATCAAAGTGGGACCCAGTCCTGTCCTTTTTTTCCATCAGATTCACAAATTGTCGCTAGAATCTTGTTATGATACCGTTGTGTGTGTTTAATATCTCTAAACACATTTCATTTAGTTGTCATTAATTTCTGCCTCTCATTTTTTTTCTGCAGGCCATGTTGAAATACTACAATGCTGTTTTGAGAGGGTAAGGTGAAGGAGGAGAAAGGGCAATAAAAATGGCCAAGCAAACGGCTGTGACGATTACTTTGGCGACCCTACTGGGTGTTGCTTTGGGGGGGCTGGTTTTGTGGAAAGCAAGCCAGCGTCGGAAAGGGAAAACATGCTGTAGCAGTCAGCAAGAGGAAGCAGCTGTAAAATCAGAAGATGAGAAACTCATTAGGGCAGAAGATAAGAAGGTGCTTTCCTTCTTCAGATCTTCTAGCTTTTCCTGGGTAGAGAGGGCCCTTGGTGCAGACATAGTGATAATTTCAGAGCAGGAGGAGTGGGATCATGTCGAACCGTTGCTGAAGAAGGAGCTGGAGAAGTGGCCGGTGCTTGGAATTGATTGTGAGTGGGTGAGTGATAAAGAATCGCCTCTCCTTCCATTGGATTGCAAATTTTTTTGGGAAATCATTGAAGGTGGAGTAGTTCCTTTGCTTAAGTAGGTACCACAGGACTGACTGTTGAAACTGATTGTCTGTCCTGACAGCAGTGAAGTAGCTGCTAATTTTGATTGTGCTTATGTTTAAGCGTGTTAAGTTTTTAATTCTCCAGATATATTTGTTTACTGAGTTCCTGTGATAAATCGACTTTACTAAATATACTGACAGTGGTATGGCTAAGTATAGCTTTATGAGTTTTGTGTAGTGTCTCTTTAAAGGTGATGTAGCTGATACATAGATAAAACTCACTGGGGCAACCAGAAAACGAAGTTCCTCTTCTGCTTGTACATTTGCATGTGTGACAAGCCTGGATTTGTCTTTGTTTTGACTGGAAATTTATTTACCCTGCAGTCATTAGTGCAAACCACAGCTAAACAATATATTTGCCATAAACATTTATATAGTGGGTGGCTTTGTACTGATGTAGATTAAAAAATGTGTCCAGTTTCTTTCACCAGCTCAGATGTGAAGGGGAAAGGTGAAAAGGGGAAAGATTCTCATATGGGAATGTGGCAAGAAGTAGCCTGGGGACAATAATGCTGTGAAAAAGACCAAATAACTTGCAGTGAATTTTTAGAGAAATGTAACAATAGTAGACTATAAACTGTTAAGTACTGCCTGCCTTCAGTGGTTTTTTTTTTTTTTTTTTTTGCAATTTGCTTCAGCTCCAGTATTACTAATCATTCTGTAACCTGAACTTTCAATTTTTACTGAATTACAGGTATGTGTGAATGGAAAAGCAAGTCCTGTATCCCTGCTACAGATGGCTTCTTCCAGTGGCCTCTGCTTTCTTGTTCGGTTGCCCAGGCTTGTTGCCAGCGGCCAGACTCTTCCAAAGGCCCTGTTGGACATCATGGCGGATAGTGCTGTGTTGAAAGTTGGAGTAGGATGCTGGGAAGATGCTTGCAAATTACTTCATGATTATGATCTTCCAGTCAAAGGGAGCATGGATCTCCGGTATTTAGCCATGAGACAGCGGTAAGTGCCTGAAGACAGAGGTAGCTGTTTGAGGCATCATTTGAGTTGGAAATATTTCTTAGGTGATTTACATAAGCTGAATGATATCAGGCTGGTATGTCTGGAATTCTCAGGGTGGCTTTAGAGAATGGGCATTGATAGCTGCAGCCCAAGAACATGTCAAGTTCCTATTCTGTGGTCCTAATGGAAATGAAATCTTCATGAGGATTTAATTTGCTAATTGTCTGCTAGTCTTCTCTCACAGGCTAATACCTTTGTAGACTTTTCTGTGTATCCTGATTCAGCTTTTAAGGAGTCCAGGCACAGTGATGTAATGCAGTGAGAGTGATCACTGTGTCAGCAGATGTTAGAATGCACTGCCTAGAAGTACGGGTTAAATGTGCCCAGGGCATGTAAGTGAACTGTGAGATTTAAAGATTTCTTGAAAAGTTACTAAATAAACCAGTTCTAAAATAAATTTTCTAAAATAARCAAAACTAAATAAACGAATTTTCTAATAATAATGCTTCTATGGAAAGGTTAGTTATGATGCCATTTTCTTATTCTTCACTCTTCCTAAAACAAGATGTTTTACTTGCAGATACTCTTCTCGTACAGTTGTATGTGTGCCTGGGTGTGGTGTTCGTGATCTGGCTGTGGGTTTGCTGACCTGTTGGTGTCCTTTTAGCACTGAGGATGGAGTTGTCTCTAGTGGCCAGGGTTCCTCCAAGTCATTCGTGGTTCTTGGGCTTCTCATGAATCCCTGGGACAGGTGGTCCATCACTTTATGATGGACCTCTTTAGTTCAGAGCCAAACACTTCAGCCTTAAATGTTACTAACTCCCAGTTTTGCCTGCTTTACATATTGCAGAMAAAAAGTAATTACTGAATCTAGAAAGGACATTTTAGCAGAGGGGAGGAAAAGGGCCTGTAAAGCTGACAGGCAGCTGTGTGCTGTTTGAGTCATGCATCATGTGCGTTGTGTTCTGGCAGGTTCAGGCTGTACAAGGCCATCTGAATTTGCATGAGTGTATAGTTTTATTTTTAATATGTTTGTTTCACTTTCTTTGTTGAACTGAAGGAAGGATCTACTTCACAACTGCCTTAGCCTTAAGTCTTTAGCTGAAAAAGTCCTGAACTTCCCGCTTGACAAGTCTCCTCATGTGCGTTGCAGCAACTGGGAGGCAGAAGAACTGACACAAGATCAGGTGTGTCCTCCACTTCAGCTTACTGTTTTGGGAGGAAAAGTAACCTTAGTAGAAAAAGAGGCTTTACAACAGGGAGATCTGAGCCTATCCAAATCGTACCTCAAAACTTTATGTGTGACATGGCSTTAAGTTAATTTCAGACTCACTGACTGCATATCCCTCCTTTTAATTTTCTGCTGTTCTCCCTGGATTCTTGACCCTTGTTTTCCTTTAGTCCTGAAAGATCTATAAGGCCAGATCCCTTGAAGAAGTGTTTCCAAAACCTCATCTTTTTATTATTTTCTTCAGTCTCTATCAGTCAGTGCAACATTAGAGAGACATTGGAAATTTCGTTCACTTTCTTTAGAGCATTGTGTTTTCCCTGACTGCCCTGTCAAGCTGCTCATGTCTGCGGTAGCAATGACCGGTAGAGGGAGCGACAGGACAAAAAACCATGCTGAATACTCGTAGCCGCTATTTCAAAAGGGAATTTTCTATGAGGGAGGGATTGATGGGGTAGGAGGATGTCTGACCTGAATTTTTTCAGTCCCTTGCAGCTCCTGGGCAATACCCCAGGGTAATGCGGTGTGGTGATGTTATGAAACTGCCTCTCAACAGGCAAAACTTCRTGAGAAATACAAAATGAAATGAGTCCAGTTTCTGGCTTTACTGTACCAAGTACTAAAGAGTACTAAAAACTGATGCTGTTTGGGATTACTTGCTGTTTGTTAGTATCTCGATGTCTGTGCTTTTCTGCAGGTTCTCTATGCTGCTAGGGATGCCCAGGTCTCAGTGGCTCTGTTCTTCCATCTCCTGGGATTTACCAGCCTCCCTAATACATCTGAAGGTGAAAACTCTGTCACTGTTTGGGAAAAAGCACGGGGTAAATGCCAAGGCTTGGTGGATATCCCATTTAGAGGAAAAAAGAGTGTTGGCAGCACAGGAGAGGAGAAGAGTGGAGAGGGACGTTCCCCTCAGAAAACAAAGAATCGGAAGTCTTGGGTGAATGGCCAGCCCTCTGGCAATCAGCAAATGAGAGATCCACGGAGGCAGAAGCGAAAGCCTCTGGGTATGGGATATTCTGCACGGTGAGTATATGAGCACATCTTATTCTTTGCATTGCACAAGGAAAACTTAGGGTGTTTCCTCATGGTCTAGTCCTTAAACAAAGTGGATCATATGAGCTAGGAAAGGGAACACAGAACCTAACAGTCATGGGGGTCAGATGCTGGTTCTGTTTTCCTCCTTTTCCTCTGAGTGGTATTGAAAGAGGGGSCAGCACTTAGATCTGTACTTAGATCATGAGTAAGTTGAGGTGTTGTCTTCAGCTTTAGCCCTCCTTTCCCCTGTGGAAGCATTAGCCAGAGAGCAGAGTCCCAGCAGGAGGCAGCTGGCTGTCCAGGTGTCATTCTCGGGGTTTCCTGAGCAGGGCCAGGAGTTGCACTGGATGATCCTGGTGGATCCCTTCCAACTCAGCATATTCTATGATTCTGCTGCTCAAACAGCTGTGCCCTGTCTCCTCCAGGGAAAGGTGGCAACTGCACAGAGCTTGTCCTTTCATCAGGATCTGCTTCATGCACTGTTGTATGTCCTTTGCTTTTTCATGTCACTGTGACTACAGACTCGGCAGGGTACTGAAGCAGAGCTGAAAGTTAAGGTTACCCGGGGTAAGACATGCTATGTGACRTGCCAGAGGGCACAGGACAGAACAGTCTGTGGCAGAAGCAAAGCACTTCCRTGTGGCTAGGGGGAGAGAGGAGACAATAGTGCTGCTTTGGCCTTSCAGAGGCAGATGTTGCTGGATTCAGCATCACCATCCTTGCAGGCAGTTTTTTTGGAGCAGATCCTAAATTCTTATGGGCTTTTGCTAGTGAGAGTTCAGGTGTTTGAAAATTTAAAACAAGTCGGAGATGTTGCTTTAAGCTTAATACAGTGGAGGGTATGGGGTACTGGTATGTTTGGTTTTCTTGGGATGCAATCTAATGAAATTAATCACTGGACATAACTGAAATTAGATGTAATAATCATTGGGAAAGAAATTCAGACATTTTTGAATTTGTCTTCTCCTTTCTAAGTTTACTGGATTGGCAATGGAGAAATTTTAATGTAGCTAACAGTACTGATTTCATTTATAGTGTTGTCTTTTACAGAGCAAGTCCCTCATGTATATATATATATATATATATATATTTTTTTTTTGGGAGGCTGTGTAATACAAAACAGGAGGACTGCATCTCATGGGAGGATTAAAATTTAAACAAAATTACATTCCAAGATAAACAAATATGCGGAGACGTCTATTTTTTTTTTGTTTTTAACTGTGCTTGACATCATGAGAGATCTGTAGACTCACTATTTTTTACAGTATTTACAGCAATGTGGCTCAGGTCTGTAATAACACTAGATGTGGTTTCAAAAGTATTTTTTCGTTCTTTCTRTTTAAGTCTGTTTATTTTTAATGTTTATTCATGTAGAGTTGGGAAGTACTGAAATTGTCATGGTGACTGTGTTAAACTGTTGATGCTCAGTGGAAGGAGACCTTTTGTAGCTTTTGTTGGGCTTTTTTCCTGTCATGGACCTCAGAAGAAATAATTTTGTCAGATTACATAGCCTGTGAATTAACCATTTTAGAAGTTAGAGATCGGATGAGTATTAATTTGTACAGTCTTGCTGTATAGAAGAAAGGAAACTTTTCTGCAGTGTATCATGGTATGTCTGGCTAGTTCTTCCCAAATCCTCTTTGAGCCCAGCCTGCTCTGCTTCAATTTTGTCTGAATGAGGTTGGCAGAGTAAGGAAACGTTTTCTGCAAAGCAGAGCCCTTCGACACACTGCCACAAACCACCAGAGAGATTCCTCAAGCAGGACTTCTTATCACTGCCAAAGGCTGGGGCCTGTGTTTGAGGGCATCAKCTCAGCTTTGTTGTTCTTCTAAACTCCTGTGTTTGAGTTCCCAGTGCTGCAAGAGCATTTTTGGACCATTTCTCTTGGATGAATAAAGTATTTTCTATTCACACTAAGTTTTAGAAAAGTTTTTTGTAATAAAACATAAAAATCCGGGCTTAGACAGATGATCCTTGAAATTGTCTTGCCTGTTAGATGACACTCTCTTTGAGCTTACTGTTAGCTCCTTGTCCTTTGTGACTTCAATTCTTTTGTTTTCTAATGTAATTTTTTTAAAAAATACTATAATTGAGTACATCTCTTGAAAATTTGGATTCAGAGTTACAATTCCATTGACAGCAAGAGARGGAAGAATACCTTAGAGTCAGTTGATGAACCCTGGATAAGTTTTCAGATGTGCTGCTTCAAGTGYATGTTTAGGGGTACTCCTGTGATTTGGAGGAGGCTGCATGARCTGCAGTGTGGCACACAGGACTACAGAAAATTATAGGGTTTTTTGCATGCTATTGTAATTGCTGTAATATTGCCCTTGTTTCATAGAAAATCTCCACTGTATGACAATTGCTTCCTGCATGCACCAGATGGACAACCCCTGTGCACTTGTGATCGCAAGAAGGCTCAGTGGTATCTGGACAAGGGGATTGGAGGTAGGCTTGCCAGTTTTCCT